TCCATAGAAATTTCCTGTGTGACGCATTGAAAGCCACAAGCCAAATTCATTCATTCTTAAATGGCCTCAGACCGTCGCTCTGTTACATCTGGGGACGACATATCGAGAGTTTGAATTGACCAACGCCCTTGGCCGCTCAATCTCTTCGCATCATTCATTCATTGGCTGTAACTGCCAGGAATTTCCCCTGCATTGTGTACAAGTTGAGCCGGCACAATGTCACTACCTGACCCTACTGAAGATCTCGACTGGGGAGGCTACATTGGAGGCATTCATGAGATATTCCACAAGAATGCCCTGGCTCATCCTAACAGGCTTTGTGTGACAGAGACTGTGACCTCGAAGTGGGTTGATGATGTCCCCCTGCATTGAAACATGTCGTAATTGCATCAGTCGCTAACAACGCATGCAGGGCGCCAACAAGAACCTATACCTATCGCCAAATTGATGAAGCAAGTAACAACATCGCAAATTACTTACGCGACTCCGGCATCCAGAATGGAGACGTAGTCATGATCTTTGCGCACCGCTCAGTTGAATTGGTCTGTGCATACATGGGGACCCTGGCGGCTGGTGCTATCGTCACTGTCCTTGATCCTCAGTACCCTCCGCAAAGACAACAAAGTATGGCATACACCGGACGAGGACGGAAATCAACTTCAGCTAACGTACCATACCAGTCTATCTTCAAGTTTCCAAGCCCAAGGCGCTCATCTCCATTCGCAAGGCTACGGAGGAGAGCGGGTAAGGCCAACCCCAACTCCTGATGACCCGCGAGCTCCCCCCGATTAACGTCTTGACACAGTCCTCTTGCTCCTCTTGTCCAAAAGTGCATTGATGATGAACTTGCCATTAAGATCAAGATCCCAGACCTCCGCTTCACCGACGATGGCGAGTTGATTGCGGGCGAAGGCAGTGCTGATATCTTCGCCAACGTAAAGGAGAGGGCCTCAACACCTCCCGACGTGCTCATTGGACCTGACTCTAACTGTACGCTGTCGTTCACGAGCGGAACGCAAGGATTGCCCAAGTACGAGTTTTTCTTTTCTCGTCGCTCCAGCTTGCTAAGAGCTTGAACCTTTATTAACGTTTAATAGGGGCGTGCTTGGCCGTCATTACAGTCTAGCAAAGTATTTCCCGTGGATGGCTGAGAGGTTCGGTCTCTCATCAGAAAGCGTATTCGCCTGCCTTTCCGGAATAGCCCATGACCCAATTCAGCGAGGTGCGGGATTCATTCACCATGTGTTGAACAGCTGTGACTAACTCTGACCTCAGATATCATGACGCCTCTGGCCTTGGGCGCAAGCCTAATCCTGCCCGCCAAGGAGGATATCCAGCACGTAAGGCTGAGCGAATGGATGAGAAAGTGGTCACCAACAACAACTCACCTTACGCCTGCCATGGGACAGATTCTGGTTGGTGGCGCTACAGCGCAGTTTCCTAGCCTGCGCCAGGTCTTCTTTGTTGGTGACGTCCTCACTACTCGCGACTGTAGGAGTCTTCGTCAGCTAGGTCCCGCCTGCACCATCATCAACATGTACGGAACCACAGAAACTTCTCGCGCTGTATCCTATTTTGAGGTTCCTTCCGCCCAGGAGGACCCTGCAGCCCTGGACTCGCTCGGCGACTCTATCCCCGCTGGCTGGGGCATGAAGGGCGTCCAGGTATTGGTTGTGGATCGAGAAGACCACACCAAGATCTGTCCGATCGGTGTGGTTGGAGAGATCTATATCCGCGCTGCTGGTCTTGCCGAAGGATACCTCAATGATTCCGAGAAGAACAAGGAGAAGTTCATCGATAACTGGTTTGTTGATAACAAAAAGTGGGTGGAGGCGGACGAGGCCAACGATAAGGGCGAACCTTGGCGCAAGTACTACAAGGGGCCGCGAGACAGACTTTACGTCACAGGTGACCTTGGAGAATATCGACCAGATGGGGCTGTGCGTGTCCTGGGCCGTATGGACTCACAAGTTAAGGTGGTCAACGATTGATTCCATTGTACGTTTTTACAAAGCTAACTCTGACAGATCCGTGGATTCCGCATTGAACTCAACGAGATTGATGCGAACCTTGGTGGCAGTCCTCTGATCAGAGACTGCAAGACACTGGTTCGAAGAGATCGTAATGAGGAGCCGACACTTGTCAGCTACATCGTCCCTGAGATCGCTGAATGGAAGCGTTGGCTTGAGACTCAGGGCCTCCAGGATATCGACGAGGAGGGTGTAGAAATGGGACCCTGTAATGTCTACCTCAAGAGGTTTCGCCGTATCCAAGCCGAGGTGCGAGACCACCTCAAGTCTCGCTTACCGGCGCACTCCGTTCCTTCGATCTACATTGTGTTACAGAAGCTGCCTCTGAACCCGAACGGAAAGGTTGACTCTCCTAATCTTCCTTTCCCCGATGCCTCTCTCATGACAGAGGATGCTTCGGAAGAGGATCTGAAGAGCTGGGAGAGCCTATCTGAGACTGAAAAGACTATTGCGACACAATGGTCAACCCTAATCCCGGGTTTGAACGCCAAGATGGTCAGGTATGATTCCACTGATAGTTCACACATCTACCATTTAAATACTGACACTCGATTTCCAGGCCGGACTCAAGTTTCTTCGACTGCGGTGGCCACAGTCTTCTTGCCCAGCAACTGTTACTTAACATTCGCAAGGAACTGCGTGCTGATGTCACCATCGGTGTTCTCTATGCAAACCCCACTATTCGCGGCCTGGGCAGCGCAGTCGACAGTCTTCGCAGCGGCCAGGCTGTCACAGTCGACCATTCCAACGATAATGTTTACTCTGACTCCCTCGATGAGCTTACCAATACCCTAGACGCGAAGTACCAAAGCGCGAACCCCGATGCTCTGGGCCCTTCTAACGGCGCCACTTTCTTTCTTACCGGGGCTACTGGCTTTCTCGGCGCATACCTAGCCAAGGATATCCTCGACAGAAAGAACACCAAGCTGATCGCTTGTATCCGAGGAGCCAAGGACCTTAGGTTTGCAAAGGAGCGTCTTGTAAGATCTCTCAAGGGCTACGGTCTCTGGCAAGACTCTTGGACTGATAGGATCTCCTGCGTTATTGGTGATCTCTCTAAGCCTCGTCTTGGCCTTGATGATGCTAGCTGGAAGCACGTCGCTGATACAGCTGATGCATTTATCCACAACGCTGCGTACGTTCACTGGATCGCTCGTTACGAACAGATGATGGGGCCGAATGTTCTCTCTACTATCGACGCTATGAAGCTCTGTAATGAGGGCAAGCCCAAGCTCTTCTCATTCGTTTCCTCAACCTCGACCCTCGACACCGACTACTACATCAACCTGTCCGACGCCCAGACAGCTACAGGCCGGGGCGCCGTTCTCGAGTCCGATGACTTGCTCCCCAACCGCACCGGTCTAGGAACCGGCTACGGGCAAACCAAGTGGGTGTCTGAGCAACTCGTCCGCGAGGCCGGCCGCCGTGGTCTCCGCGGCGCAATCGTCCGACCAGGCTACATCCTTGGCAGCCGCAGCAGCGGTGTCTCGAACACCGACGATTGGATCGTACGCCTCTTGAAGGGCTGTTGCCAGCTTGGTGCTCGTCCTCGCATCATCAACTCGGTCAATGCTGTCCCTGTCGATCACGTCGCACGTGTTGTTGTCGCTTCGACGCTGAACCCTCTCCCTGGCATGAACGTGGTGCACGTTACTGCTCACCCCCGTCTGCGGATGAACGAGCTCCTCTCTGCACTAAGTTACTACGGTTACGAAGTACCCGAGGTTGACTATGACATCTGGAAGTCGCAGCTGGAGGAGTTTGTGTCGGCCGGAGCCGTGGAGAAGGATCAGGAACAAAACGCATTGATGCCGCTATTCCATATGGCTACTGCAAATCTCCCAAGCACTACTCGTGCTCCTGAGCTAGATGATAGGAACGCCGTGGCTGTTCTTAGGGCCGATGCAGACCGCTGGACAGACATTGACGATAGCGCAGGAGACGGCATTTCTCGTGAGGATATCGGTAGGTACCTTCGTTACCTTGTTGAGATCAAGTTCATGGCCGCACCCACGGGTAGAGGACGTAAGCTGCCCGAGATTGACACCTCGATCGCCGAGGCGCAAGCACAGTGGGGAGTCGGTGGTCGCGGAGGTACCTCATAAGAAGGCTCTGTTGGATGAAGGCATGAAGACAAGGAAGGATGCTTACTGTAGATAGGTAGACACTCAATGCGGAGTGACTTGGGAGTAAGAAAATCAAGGGTGCGCTCACGCGAAAGACGCGAGCATGAGACAACGTTTTGTCACCTTTGAGAGTGACTTGTCTAGTAGAAAATCAGAGTAGAAAATTGACATTTGGTTATATAAAGCACCTATGTATTTAGGTACTCGAGGTTGACTGATGGGGTTCATGTCAATACCCATTTGACTCGGGTAGCCATTACCTAGAAAGGTTCCACAACAGGTAGAACAAAGTTCGAGACACACCTTGTCACCTGCTGTCCATCCCAACAGTGAACAGTGGATAACCTACCTACCCTAGGTACTAAGTAAGGCACTTGCGGCACAGAGGAATTGATAACCTAGGCCAACTTCAGCCATAGCCAACTTGGCCCAGCCCCATTCAACGTCATCCCCTTCCCTTCACTACCTTGCCTAGGTAGGCACTAACCTTACTTCCACCGCCGACCGACGACCGCGACTTCTATCTTCACCTAGGTGGACTTCTTCTCATACATGCTCTGCTTATTTCGACTCCACGACCGGGAACAATAGGCCTGAATGTACCCAAGGTAGTCAGCTTCAGCGCATGAACCATCGTATCGTATCGCCTCATTCGACCCATGCTTGCCCCTCCCCCGCTAGCTACGATCTACCTTGCGCTTGAAGCTCTCGTCCTTCACCCGCAGCCTACCAGCTTCTCTCTGTCCAGGCTCCCGGTTTAAACGCGCGAAATAGACCACCTTGAGTTGTATTGAGTACCTCTTTCCGCAACACCTGTCGCGATTGCCCTCAGCAAGTCGTCAGAATGTGGAATGACGAGGACAATAACCCGTACGGCACCAGCTTTGACAGGCGGGACTCGCAGTCGTCGTCTGTCAACCCGACGTCCCCGTCAACTCGTAATTGTATGTCGATTACCCATACCATTTCACTAGACACCATTCCCAAACCGTCGCTGAGATGGTTGATTCAATTCTGTCAGAGGACGAGGAAGAGATCAATGATACTTACGATTTTCTCTCAGACCAATCGTTCGAGCCACCTCAAACACCCACCTCCAGTAGCGATGATGAGCATGGACAGTTTGGCCACGGCGGTGATGACGACGATGGGGACTCGGCGCAGGATCCCGGCCCTAAGCGCAAGCCTGGTGGTTACGACAGTCGCATCGAGCAGATCCTATATGAGAACCCCAAATTATCTATCGTCATCACGGATGCTGGCAAGAGCCTAGAGAGCGGCGGCAGATATATCGTGTACACTATCAAGACTGGCGTACGTCCATCTACTGCTAGTCCTCCGAGGTATTTCACTGACGACTACGTGACAGGATCTTGAAGTGCGCCGCCGATATTCAGAGTTTGCTTCTCTGCGCGATGCCCTTACGCGCCTTCACCCTACCTTAATTGTTCCTCCCATCCCCGAGAAGCACACGATGGCTGATTATGCTGCGAACCCCACGAATGCGAAGCAGGACCAGCAAATCATTGATCTTCGAAAGCGCATGTTGGCAGTCTTTTTAAATCGCTGCCGCCGAATGGACGAAATCCGAACTGATGGAGTTTGGTGGCGGTTCCTGGACCCTAATGCTAGCTGGGTATGTCGTGTCTCTGAACGCGCAGATGTCACTACTAACTGTATAATAGAGCGAGGTCTTGCACTCTCATCCCGTGTCGTCAATTCCCAAGTCGATCTTGAAAGCGCCTCCGCTGGACCCCGCAAACCCAACTCCCGCGCACAGCTACTTGCCAATCCCGGCAGCATCGGCAAAGCTCAAGACGGTGGCCGGTACCAATCACGATAATAGCTCGGGCCATATACAAGCAGGACCTCACGCCTTCGGCCGGTTTCCACCTGAGGGTCACAATTTGGGCGAACAGGAGCTGGACCCTTATTTCATCTCATACGAGTCCTCGATCAAGGAACTCGAACAGCTTCTTACTGGCCCAATGGAAAAGGTGAACAGACGAACTCTCAGTCATCTCTCCTCATTGGCTGCCGATCTCTGTGAGCTAGGGTCCGTCTACAACGCCTTTGCGGTTTCAGAGCAGGCACCGTCGCTCGGACCGGCCATTGAGCGAATAGGCCAGGCAGCTGATCTATCATATATCGCCACAGAGGAGCTCTCAGGTTCTTTGGGTGCTAGCTTTGCCGAACCAATGCGTGAGCATGCGCAATTTGCGGGTGTTGTTCGAAGTGTACTAAAGTATCGTGTGCTCAAGCGTGTGCAACAAGACTTGACTAGCGAAGAGCTGAACAAGAAGCGAGCGCTGCTCGACCAACTAGAACAGAGTGAAGCCGAAGCTCGAAGGATTGAAAATTACCTCTCGGGCAGTCAGCAAATATCACCACCGCCAAAGCGATCGGCGAGCCTTAAGGAGCCGTCCTCTCATCAACGGCGTGATGGTGGCCAGGACGACACCGAGTCCATCGATTCTGACTTTCCTGGGGCCCACGGAGACTTTTCCTCGCACACACCTTCAGCCAGTCAGGGGCTACCCGAAAGGAGTACCAGTGCGCCGTCGCATAAGAAGATGCCCAGTGGGAACTCGATAACGAACAAGATCTTTGGACCCATCCGGCATGCAGTACAAGGGGTCGTTGACGTCGATCCAGAGAGAACACGCCGCGATTTGATTGGAAAGACGAGAGAGAGCATCGGTCAGTTAGAACAAGCTCAGGTTGTCTCGGAGCGCGATGTCAAAGAAGCCAGCGCGAGTGTCCTAAAGGATATGAAGCGATTCCAAAAGGACAAGGAGGACGACTTGCGACGCTACATGGTGAGTTTATTAGCTCAGTCTTGACTAATCGCTAACATCCACTAGCTCGCCTATGCCCAGAGCCAGATCGAGTGGGCCAAGAAAAGTAAGCAACAATGGGAGGAAGCTCGAGCAGAGGTAGAGAAGATTGACGAGTCCTAAACATGTTGTATTCTGTTGTTTTGCGTGCCTGATGGGATGCTTTGAAAGCCGTAGATGATAAGAAGAGAGGAATGATATTCCCATGTAGTTCGATGGCTTCTTCTCTGCTTCGGTCTCTGCACCGATGCTTGTATTCCTTATAACATATCGTGAAGTTGTGCATCTCTGCGAATTTCGTGTAGTCTTTTCCCCATGAATTACTGGTCTCGCCAGGAGAGCCAGAAGTCTGACACTAAAGACCGTGCAAGTGTCACACGAATGTAGACCTTACAAATAGACGTTGCAATTTGGCTTGAAGAAGAAGAAAATGAGCTTTAATGAAATCTAATGTATATACTGAGTATGTTTAGGTCCGTCCAGCCCAAATGGCTGCCTACTTCGATTTGTTATCCTCCCTCTTACAGGAATGCTACATAACAGAAAAGAGCAAAAGTGCAAAAAATCCTTTTTTTAACAATAATAAATGATGATGATGAAAATTAAATTGGAAATCCTCAAATACCCTCAAAGAGTTCATCTCTCCCAAACAATACCTATGCTCCATGCGTACCTCAACCTACTGGTGGGAGCACAATGGGGTACCTAGTATGCGATCCTGTAGGCTGTAAGTGGTCCTTATCGATAAGCATTTATCATAAAGGACAGTAGCTTCATTGTCGCAACAACAATCAGACCTTTGCCGGTGCATCCTCACCACAGTCATCGCGATGGCCCAACAAGATGGGCCCATCGCCTCTATCGCGGAGCCAGGCATCAAGGCTCAAGGACAACTACTCCACGAAATGCGCAAGGAGGTCGCAAACCTTCTCAACAGGTCTGCTACTGGCTTTCCCGGTGCGCAGCCCGTGAGCTTCGCCCGTCAGCACCTCGAGGAGCTCGCTCAGCACGAGTAAGATTGACATGGGACGCTATTTCGCGATCTAGAACCAACAGCTGACGGTGACCTTGTAGTTACTACGTAGTCGAAAAGTCCGACGGTATCAGATATCTCCTCTACTCGACAACAGACGAGAATGGAAACGAGGCCCACTACCTAATCGATCGCAAAAACGACTTTTGGTTCATCACGAACAGGAGCCTGCACTTTCCTCTCGAGAACTCCCCGGAAGCATTCCACACGAACACGTTGATCGACGGTGAACTGGTTTGGGACACAGGCTCCGACGGGAAGCGCGTCCCCATGTTTCTGGTCTTTGACTGTCTGGTACTGGATGGTGCCCTGCTCATGGAACGAACGCTCGATAAGCGGCTCGCATATTTTGACCAACGATTCTATCGCCCCTACAAGAAACTTTATCAGGAATACCCTCAGGAACTAGAGTTCCAGCCCTTCTACGTGGAGATGAAGAAGCCCCAGTTTGCCTACGCCATTGATATGATGTTCAGAGATATCCTTCCCAAGCTAAAGCACGGCAACGACGGCCTCATCTTCACCTGTCGCACCACTGCTTACAAACACGGCACTGACAACCACATCTTGAAATGGAAACCGCCAGAAGAGAACACTGTGGATTGCCGCCTGTCCCTGGACTTTGTGGAAGTCGAGCCCAGCGACGAGGAGCGCCGCGAAGGCATCACTGAGCCATTCATTGATTATGACAGCGTCCCCAAGGCTGATCTGTACGTCTACGCAGGGGGTAGCGGCCCCGAAAAGTACGAGTATTTCAACAGCGTGTTCATCTCCGATGAGGAGTGGGAGACTCTCAAGTCGCTCAACGATCCGCTCAACTGGCGAGTGGTTGAATGTAACATCGATGAGCAGGGTCGGTGGCGTATTGTGCGCTTCCGTGACGATAAGAACGAGGCCAACCACATCAGCACAACTAAGAGTGTGCTTCAAAGCATCGAGGACCGGGTTTCGGAAAAGGACCTGTACAGAGCAGCTGGGGAAATCAAGAATGCCTGGAAGGCTCGGGCGAGCCGGGGCCCTGCAAGATAGATTAATCGACAGGCAAAAACGGCGTCCGGGGATATTGGTTCTGTATCGATGGGGCAAGGCGTTGGGAAAGGATTTATGGATAGGAGATTCTCATATTTCACCACTACACCGCATACCATCTCGCAAGTTTGATTTGAACAGACACATCGTCTTCAATACAGCCATAGCTTACATGAAATTAGGAGATATTAGCAAACCTCAAGCAACATCAACATCAAGAATTCGGAGCCGAAATTAGAAGTACCCATGTTGCGATATTGAACTTTTTATCTATACCTAGTCCCCGGCGTCCCCTTATTCATTACCTAGGTACGCAGCATCGCGCAAGCCAAGAGCGGATTTACAGATCATCTCAATTCCATTTCCAGTTTGGATATCAAGTCCAATGCCAGTTCTGACCGTAGAAACTCCAATTCTCCTAACGTGGCCCTTGCTCGTCTTGCAAGTGCTTTCCTACCGTTCCTTTCCGATTACCCCGTCAAAGCTCAGAATGCAAACATGATAATGGCCACCAACATAACGGTGCAGCTAAGATTGGTGGTGCCGCTGGTACCTCCCCACCCACGAGGCTCGGGCTTCTTGGTGCCTCCTGAGACGGCAACAGGGGTTGGAGTAGGCACAGTAGGCACAACAGTAACACTACCGGATGGACCTGGTAGTAAGGTATTGTTGGCGGTTGGGTAGGGTGGGTAAGCAGGAGGCGGAACCATGATAGTTGTTGTAGAGGTTGGGGGCACACCAGCAGTTTCGTAAACAGTCGTTGTGGTACTACTGGTAGGAGAAACGGACACGGTGGGTGAACATTCTGGGCATTTGCTAGTCAAAGTGACAGTGATGAATGAGTCGGGAGCTGTGATGGTCTTCTCAACAGTGGTGTACTGGGTGACAGTGCTCAGACCTTGCCGAGGTGGATAGAGACTTTGAATGGTAATAGTTGTGTGCGGTTTGGGGACGGGCGAGGAGACCTCGAAAGTATTCGTGGTGGTATCAGGGCTGGAGGTGGTGAGGACATCGAATGAACCAACAGTGAGAGAAAAGTCGGTTTTGCTCTCAGTCACGGTCTGTGGGTTACCGGTAACGACTGCATCGGATGGACCGCTGGTGAGAGAGAAATCAGTTTCATTCTCGGTCACAGTCTCTGGGTTACCGGTAACGACTGCATCGGATGGACCGCTGGTGAGAGAGAAATCAGTTTCATTCTCGGTCACAGTCTCTGGGTTACCGGTAACGACTGCATCGGATGGACCACTGGTAAGAGAGAAATCAGTCTTGTTCTCGGTCACAGTCTCTGGGTTGCCGGTCACGGTGGCTCCAACAGCATCACCCGAGGAGCTCTGGGAGACCTTGTCGTTAGGTACAGTGACCGTGTAGCTCTCGGTCATGGTAACGACCTGAACCTCGCAGTATTCGATAGTGCTCTCCCGTGTGGTGACAGAAACAGACAGGGTTTCGCCAGGTACAGTGACATAGCGGGTTCCAGTAACGGTTGCAACCTCGGTGACCACATCAGCATTCGAGGTGTAGCTGACACCGTAAATTGTAGATAGAGCCGTCTTAGTCCTATTTCCAGGGGTCAGTGGCTTCTCGGGCATCATAAAAGTACCTAGGAGTTTGGGACATACGAGATTGGGTATGAACCACCGGTGCTCTCGAGATGGCGAGCAATGTTGTGCACCTGATCACTTGAACGAAAACCGACAGTCTCGTTTAGCCGCAGGAAATGGAGGTTGGCTATTACTTGGTCAGTCCGTCGCAAGCCGTGGAAACAGCAAGTTGCAAAAACATACCATAGACTGCGCTAACAACACCCATGCCAAAAATGACGGGAATTGCACATGTGATAGCCAGAAAACCAACACACAGCATGAAAAAGAATCGAGATCTCTTCTGCTTGCCAACCCGGAACATTTGAGGAGTTTGGGCAGAACCCTTCTCGGAATCCATCAAGTCCGCCACTGGTAATGGAATCAGCCTTGGGAAGTACTGGGAAGCAGCTGTGGACGTACTTGGATCAAAATTGATAGTGATTAATACTGGATAATCAAAGTGACTGCTATTGAGATTAGCAAGCTGTTCGTCAGGTGAACAAGAGGACACGAGCGCAGTTCGTGATGAGGGCGATGCAGCACCAGACACCCGAGACCAAGTGAAGGACAGTGCTATAAGCAGTAAAAGAATAGAAAATGAAGTAACAGATACATACCGATCGAGTGGATAGAATAAGGCTTTTCTGGTTGGAAAGACAAATTATGTTAGACGACGTTGGAGTAACGAAGTTTGGAAGATGGAGGAGGAGAGTAGAAAAGAGGGCCGGTAAGAGGAAGATGTAGTAAGGGTGGGAGAGGGAAAGGAGCAGACGGCCTGTTGAATGATTCAAGGAAAGAAGTAGGGGTGGAAGGAGGTCCCTTAGCGGCGACAGAAGGCAAATTCAATAAACAGAGCAGGAGAGGCAGAGTGATTCATCATGGCACCAAGCAAGAGCAGGGCCGCATATTGCTCTGTTGACTGACTGGTAGCTGCAGCTGCCAGCCAGTGACAGACTTGACGCTTGCAACAGCTCTCAACGCCCTGTCTACTAGCACCTAATTTGGGACAATGGAGTTTCAAAGTGAAGCAGCGATCATGAATCTCGAAGAATGGAGAATATTGGCTTACATTGAACTACGGCGATTTCAGTTGCCTTGTTTCCGTCGTTAGTCGAGTGTCAGATGGGAGTTGAATAGATCTTCCAATGAAAAGGTGACTAAAAAGACAAGCCTGTTTTAAAGAGAGAAGAGGCATGAAATAAGAGGAAAGAGAAGGACATCGCGTTTTCTTCTAAAGGGGCAACGGCTCAACTTGTACTCAACAGCTTGCCACCAAAGCACTACAGGCAATGGAGATAACCCACGCAACACTACCTTCCATTTCCATCCACGGAAGGTCCCCTTTCATGGGCGAGTACAAGTTAATTATCCCTTGGGCTGCCACTTACAGTGCAGCAAAATGATTCGACATACGGCAAACGATGCGGTCAAACTTGTGCAACAGACATCTATCCTCAATTGCTCCAGGCCGAAACCGCAAGGGAACTTTCTAGCATGAAACCTCACAATGGAGGCTCTATGTGTCAGATTCGCCTCACGGTGAAATGAAGCAAACATACAATGGTCGTACATAAACGGCTCTGTTGCAACGATTCGAGGTATCACCGTATTCGCAACACTTGTATCCAATGCCGTGCATGTACGTACCAGCAGAGCCAGCCGAGTTCAATTATCGGTTAATTGATGAGCTTATAGATACGAAGATAAATATGTGACGACAAGGTAATACAGAAAAGGTAGTGCTCGTGATGTTGCTCTCCGTCAACTCTCACTTGGGAGCCATTCACTTGGCATCTTGGCATCTCTGTGTCCATGGAACATCCGCATTGACTTCAATTACCAAGGTAGAGTTCGACTACCTACCTGTGGTGGGTACGGAGGCAGTTAAAGGTACATATATCTAGAAGCTATACCTGAATATGGCATCCCTCACGATTCCCGAACGACACTTGACTGTCAGACGCCGTGTGCCACACAATCCCCAATGAGGAGCCACGGCCAGATGACAAAACCCTGGTAGCTGACAATGGAGGTTTTGGTTGGTTACTTTGACCTATATCTATCTCCTAGACAGAGCCTTCTAGCAAAGGACATGAATAGGGCGATCATGAGAGGAACAAATTAGTGTCTCAGTGTAAAGTTCCAGATCGGAGCCAAATCCCCCTTTTCAGTCAATACACGAACCAACAATGGCGTGTCATATTATCGAAAGGGGATTCAATAGTCATGCAATTGTGTTCAAAAAAAAGAGAGAGAGATTTGAGGTTGGAGTTTTGTGTACCTGGTAAGTAAGCATGATGAACTCAGTAGAAGCATAAACATCAAGGGCATATCCTATTAGTGGGGCAACTTCCCGGGCTGTTCAGGCCGTGACTCAATTAGGTATAGGCACCTAGTAGCTTGGCTTTCTGTCGGGTGCTACCTTAGTAGCTTTCCTACCTCACGGTGGTAGCTTGGTCAAGGAAGCTCCTGTTCATGCTGCTTGGCTAGGTAGGTACTGACCTACCCACCCACCCAACATCTGTCCCCCGTCGAAGTGGAAGTGGAAGTGGAAGTGGAGTGGCTAACGTCCAAAATCAAAAGTAAGGTCGCGTCGCGCGCACGGAACACGCCTCCGCTTATCACAAGAACATCTCTCCTACTACGTGTCTGACCTTTAATTTATCGTCGCTCTTGAGACTTTGCTGTCTTTACGATAACTAACCCCATCGCTCTGATTACCATACTGGCGCTACCTCTAACGGTGCTGGTATTGCAGCGTTCAGGTCTTTGCTATAGCAAGCGCATGCGATGCGGTGTTAGGACCACTACGCCCCCCAAATTTCATATCCCAGCCCAAATAGTCACAACATACCGTCTGCCGAAGCATTATTGTTGGATTCTCTCCTAGACCCTCCAGCTCCTTCAAGAGAAGCATTCAATCGGCGGTTTTTGTATAGGGCATGATGGCGCGTCGTCGGCGCGTCGAGAAGCCTGCTCAAGTGGAGGAGGAGGAAGTCGTTGAGCGGGAAGACGAACAAGACCAAGAAGAACAACAGCACGAAGAGCCCGACCATGACTCGGAGAATGAGGAGGAGGGCGAGAAGCGCAGCTTGACTTTTGACGAAGAAATTTCCTGGAAACCCGCCAAGCCAATTCCTACGAGCACTCTGATAAAACGACTGGATAAATTATCCAAGGAGCTCTCCGATCTCGATCAAGGCGCCGCCGACTTGGACTCCATCAGGCATGTGGCCAAACAATTAGGACACCGTAACCTACTTCAGCACAAGGATGGCGGTGTCAAGGCATACACAGCATGCTGCCTAGTCGACATTCTTCGGCTCTTCGTTCCCGATGCTCCTTTCACCGACGACCAGATCAAAGTGTGTTCAGCACGATTCTCCTTCTGTATCTGTTCCATGCTAACATGCTCCAGATGATATTCACCTTGTTCATCAAGGATATCCTGCCAGCTCTGCACGATCCCACAAATCCATATGACAGCCAGCACAAATACGTTTTGGCATCTCTTACGGAAGTCAAGAGTATTTTGCTCCTCCACCAAATCTCAAATGCTGACGATCTATTGTTGAGACTCTTCAACAGCACATTCGACGGAGTGTCGGCATCTGGCTCTAAGTCAGCGTCTGAGGAGCAGGTCGCTAAAGATGTTGAGATTCACCTGACAGAAATGCTAATGCAGTTGATTGACGAGGCCGAGAGTGTGTCAGCTTCTGTTGTCGACGCGATTATCAGTCAGTTTCTGAGAGCTGCTCCTCCCGGTGGAAATCGATATAGAGGACAGAACGGGAATCAATCCACTCTTCTTCTCAAAGAAGAACCACCAGCATATGTCATGGCGAAAAATATATGCAATGGATGCTCTGACAAAATGGCACGTTACGTCAGTCAATACTTCAGTGACGTTATTCTCAACGCTTCCGGCTTCGCTACGAAATCCAATGTGCAGCGACATCCGGATGATTCTGATGACGAAGACGGGACTCTTGGCCCATCAGAGGCAGATCTGAGGAGTCTCCGTCAAGCCCATCTACTCATTCGCGAATTATGGCGAGCCGCCCCGACAGTTCTTTCGAACGTGGTACCGCAGCTCGATGCGGAGCTTTCAGCAGACAATGTGCATCTTCGTCAAATCGCCACAGAGACGATTGGCGATATGGTTTCAGGCATTGGTGCAGCGGGGCCACCACCTCCTCCTTCGTTGGAACCAGCGGCTTATCCTCCCATAAAATTACTGGACGATACTCCAACTCCAGCCGTCGAGAACGTCTTGACAAAACCTTACTCTCCTCAGTCTTTTGCTCAAACACATCATGCCGCCTATCGCAACTTCGTCGGGAGAAAGAACGACAAGGCCGCCATCATTCGGGCGGCGTGGATCTCTGCTGCCGGTTATATATTGGCCACGTCTGCAGGGGGCATTGGTCTTAGCCGTGAGGAGGAGAATGAGCTCATCAAGGCACTCTACGAAAAGCTCAATGACAGCGAAGAGAAAGTTCGGCTGGCTGCGGTGCAGGCAGTCGAGCTGTTCGATTTCCGCGACATCGTTCTGAAACTTGGAGCTCTCGGAGGTGTAGAGAAGACTGGCTCAATATTTGCCAGTTTGGCGGATCGATCTCGTGATAAGAAGCCTGCCGTACGTGTTGAAGCCATGGTTCTACTGGCAAAGTTGTGGTCAGTTGGTGCTGGGGAGATTGCTGATGGGCAAGAGGCTGTCATATCCTGCTTAGGTGGTGTGCCTTCCCGTATCCTCAGTGTGTGGTATATCGGCGATGAGGATCTCATCATTCTTCTTGAAAGGGTCATGTTCGAGTGTTTGGTCCCTTTGAAGTATCCCTTCATAAAGGGCGCAAAATCAAAGGTGGCCTCTCAGTCGCAGACGGCCAGTAGCCAGGCAGATCAGGACAAGATTCGCGCAGAGAGGATCCTCCTATTACTTAAGTCACTGGATGCGTCAGCTAAGAGGGCCTTTTTCATCATGCAGGCCCGTCAGCCCCAGGTTGCCAAGGGAGTTGAAGTGTTCATTCAACAATGTGAAGCCTATAACGGGGGGGTGATCAATGCGAACGAGGAAAAGGTCAAAGCCGCCTTGAGCAAGACCTTCCAGTGGTTCGGTGCGTTTTTCCCGGATCCGCTCAAGGTCCGTAGCGATCTCCAGAAGTTCGCCAAACTCAACGACCGCCGTTGTTACCAGCTTCTCAAGTTCATTATTGCATCCGATACCGAATATCTCCATGTTCGAAGAGCCATTAAGGAGTTGATTGCCAAGGTCCAAAGTAACCCGGGGTCAGCGAGCTGTTTGGATACCCTCATCCCTCTAATTTACCGGGCCGGCTCTTTGATGTACAATCGGAG